GAATGGATCTCGGTTGAAAACCGCGAAACATTAAAATATTACCGAGAATACCCACGCGTGCACGCGGGAATGCTCGAAATGAAAAAAAAAATAATGTAACGAGTATAACAGAAAATAGATAATAAAGATATAAATGAAAAATATAAAATAAATAAAAAATAGCACCAGTTGTTTCCCTCATGTCTGCTTATTGTATCATCCACAGCTTGTGGTCTCGTTTATTTCCTCGTCCGTTACAATGCATCAAAGCGTACACGTCAATTGCATCGCGCCGATATCTCGAATTGAGAGGAAGTTGCTTCCAATTAGTACACATTTGCTACAACAGAGCTTTTGAGTCTTCAGATTGCGAATTGCTGCTAGGAGAGCTTTACAGAATGATTCAATAATAATACCCACAAATTTATAAGCACTTTCTACGCTACACACGGAATTGAAGAAAAGATCTTATTAATTATGTGAGAAAATACATAAAACTTTTACTTTTTTTCTGGGGTATAATTACACAACACGAATTATTTTCACTTATCTTTATACACACATGCACACATGCGCACATGCGCACGTGCACAAACACACACACTTTCTCTCTTTTCCTGAAAGATGCTTAATATATACACGCGTATAATATATATATTGTTCAAAGCAAAAAAATTGTAAGATTATATATTTCTTCAAATATCATTTTCCATCTCAATTTCCATTCGAGCTAAAAAAAATTACCAACTTCGTAGAACTTTTAATTCTTTTTCTTCCATAAGTTTTCTACATGTTTATGAGGATCACAAATACCGTACACATTTATTCAACGGTTACCTAATCTAAAGGTCTTAGCATTTAAATGTAGCTTACACCTCATTGATCTAAACGAACTTACGGATATATGTATAATGCAAAATTTCTTGGAACTGCTTTCTTAATCTACAATTGTAGAATGTTCCTAAGAATTTTCAAATACTATTATTAAATTACCTAATGACCCAGCAAAGATAGGTTTCAACAACGCGATCAAAAAATCAACGGCATCAACGCGAAGCCACTACGCTATTGTTATCTCGTATACGTCATGCACGAATACCTCTTGACCCCAAACTTTTCGACTGAATAGCGACACTCTTTGTACCGCATCGTACATTAAACGCAAAGTTAAATTACGCTCTTGGCATCACGATAAGCGCTACGATAGGTGCGATGAAAAACTTTGTTTTTGATGTGTTGTTGAAGATTATTAAGCGTTTCAATACGAAATGTGTTTACCTGATAATTTTTCAGGAATTTTTCGCTGAGTGACAGGTTTATTTTTCTATATTTGACACATTGCTTTATAATATATTTTTAATTAGGTAAAAAGGAAATAAATTAAAAGATTAGATATTGTGGATATGATAGAAAAATCTCGTTTCTTTATTTATAACACATAAAAAAAATCACTAGAATAGCTTATACTGTATAACTTTTATCGGAAAGATGAAAAAGTTATTATATTATTACACACAAAACAACACTATCTAATAGACTTAGTTAGATGACGTACAAGTGTGTGAATGCTTGATTAAGTATATGGTGTGTAAGTTTAGAATAATTTTAGTATATTGAATTATATAAGTATAGAGGCTCAGAGATAGAGAAAATTATGTAGAAATAAGTGCGTATAGAGATAGAAGGTAAGTGTGAAAGTGAAATAAGGTGTTAAGCAGGAAAACAGGATTCAGGACGGAAAAAGTCGACAGGTAATAGAGACTGTGGATTTATAAGAAACGGGTAGTTTTATGGTAGTGTAGGTAATGCAGGCAAGCTGGCAAGCTTAAATTATGGTACGGTAATGCAGAGGTAGTTATCGATAGAGAAAATTTATATAACAGATGGTAATGGAAGACAGAAGTACACAAAGGATGGAAGAAGAAAAGGATACAAGAAATGAAGAGAAAAGATTTGCCATTACAAGGAGTTTAAAGAATATTTAGATAACAAGAATGATATTGTAAAGAGAGAAACAATGTAACTATAGAGATATTAGCAACTAGATAGAGGTAAAAATAAGGAATGAATGGATGTTTGATTAAGGGATATAATTGTAAATCAAGTCCCCTCCTTCACTGTGTAAGCTTAAGGAAAATATACTGAACTGCATATGAAATATAGTGAACTAATCAACATTATCAAGTAAAACATTAATGATGGAGTACAAAGAAATACGTCTAGAAATTGAACACACAATTGAGCACATTGAGCTATCGTGCCATATTGAAAATTAACTCGTTTGCATTCGTTTTTATTCGTTTTATACCGGTTTCGTTGTAAAAGACGTCGTCGTGCGGAAGCTCCATTCCTGCTTGCCGCAGTTATTGAACGTTGCGAAAAGTCCTGACCCGGTTATAACCTCCGTTGCTGGCAAACGCGCTGATCGCGTTTTATTAAAATACTCACCAAGTGCCGCTTTCGTGCAAAGCGCAAGGACGCAAAAAATCTATCAAAATCATACAATACTCTCTCTCGTCTCCTTCCCCCTCTCTCATCTCTTTCTCTTTTGTTTTCTTCGCTTCTTTTTTTATAATTATAACAGCATGCAGAACATACGGAGGATTAATTTCGCTAAACACACTCTAGAAATAATTCTAATATAATATCAGATGACACTAATTACGGACTGAAAATAATGTTACTTATGTACTTACGTTTAAAACTGTTTTTTAGTTTAAAACTATTCGCAAATCGATCATGCTTGTAAGGAGGTATTGAAAAAGGAAATCATTTTATCAAGAACCGCGCTAATTGAGAACACGGATCGACAATAATGGCTAAAGTTATCTTTTATTCATTCGTTATTGTAGTGTCTATTATATCTCACTGCGGTTCACGAAATTTCAGCCAAAACCGAAGGAGATATTAATCTATGTCACAAATGAATGGATTTAACTCATCCATCCCCTACCACATAAGCATCTCCGTTGTTGTCATGCTTTCTTCTTCCCAGCTATCGAATTGTGCGAACCTTGACCTGTCAAGCCTTTATGTAACGACAGTGAAATCGTGAATACGAGAAGGGTGGAATTATCGGAAGATGACGATAATGAATCTCGCGCAAACTATGACCAAAGATTATCGATGAGCTTAACAACTTGGCAAAATATTTGCAGAATTGTAAAGAAGAGAATGAAAGAGACGATAAAAAAAAGAAAAAAGCTACTGTAACGGAACATAACAGAGAGTATAACGTATATCTCTGTATGTGTATCCGTATTTTATTTCACTATTTCTGAAGCAGATTTCGTTTGCTGTCTCTCATCTAAGTTTCATACTCCCACATATTATATATTGTACCACATTAGTCATATTAGATAAATCACACGCAAAACGAAAGAGATGATCGCATTTGGTGTTAAGTGCACGGCGGGCTTAGAGCAATATTTTTTTCACAGTATTAAGTTACTTACAACAGAGAATAATATATACAGAAGATAATATATTTAGATCATAAATAAAGAAACATTTCATCAAATCCTGAAATAAAAAAAAAAAAAAGAGAGAGATGCTTTATTTGTACAGTATTTATCAGACGCATTTTGATGACACTCGATTCTGCTTTACATTCATCACGATTTTATATTACGTATAATTTTATAATACGTATATTCATATAACACAATAATATGTTTGTCATTTCATTGAAAAGTTTGTCGAAACAAATTTAATTTTAATGGCATTTTATTATAATTGCAGAGCGGCTGAAGACGCGATTGGTCATTTCAACATATTATTGATGATCAATTTTAATACACAATAACAGGGAACAAAGTAAAATAGGAAATATAACGTGTGCTTTAACAAATGCGAAGAGAAATGTGCGCACGCGTGTATATTTACACGTCAACCTTTAATTAACTATGCTTATTGGAAAACGTGAATTTCGTGTAGCATTCTCGACAGCCGCTCGCGGTCGTTTATTAATTTGCAAAATGAATGCACGCGGACAACCGACTTATAAAAATTAAACGAAATCAATAAAATATATTCTCTTAAAGAATTTATCTTGTCATGTATAAAAGAAGTGATTGTCGCGTGAAAAGGGAGAATCGACTATAATTTTTTACCCAAAAGAATCTTTAAAAAGAAGATTTAATTTCCCCTGATTATAATATTCCCCTGAGAGAAATTCAATTCCCAACAAAATTGTTTCATGTTTACAATATGTCGCATTCTTCACTGTTCTATTTTAAAGTATCTCTATTTTTCTTAATATGGAATTTTAATTAAGATTAAGAAAGAGCCGAGCACTAGATTAAATAAACAAATATCGACGCATCGTGTGTTGTCTTTTTCTTTCTTTTGACGTATTAATTTTAGTTCTCGACATTTTTAGTTCCGTTCAGATAGAACCATTTTCTCACCCAAGTTCAACAAACACTCTCTAGCATCTCCTTAATACAAGAAAAAACCCGTACTGGTATCACGTCGCAGACTTTCGACATCCACTCGAAATTTAATCAGTCATGTCAACAACAGCGAAAGCCGTACAATATGCGATGGCTCGCGCGTATATAATGGGTTTATCCTAATTTTGTGTCGTCAGATTCCCAATTTAATTTGCGCAAGCTTTGGGGATCACTCGCGCAAAATTAGTGGCTTATATATCAATCAATCGACCCTATATACACACACACGCTCGCACGCGCGTACGCATACACACACACACACACACACACACACACACACACACACACACACACACACACACACACACATACATATACATATACATATACATATACATATTCATATACATATACATATACACACACCATGTCTGTTGATCGTTCATCTCTCGCAGATATATGTACAATTTCTTCTTCTCTTTCATTTTTCTTCAGGCATCCTTCTTTCCTAATGTTGTTATATTATTCTCTAGCGTTATGAATCATACTGAAATCAGTAGTGCAAAGACCTGCTCGAGTCTCTGTTTTTACCAATCTGAAAGTTTTCCTAAAACATGTTTGTTATAGATGAGATCGGAGGTACGCACCGACACACAGGATAATTTAACAGTGGTAAGATATCCAATTACTTCACTTACAAATAGTGATAGACAAATTTCTATTTCGAATGTCTTCACTCAAAGATTTGTTAATTTTTTAAAACATTATTCGAAACTAGAATTGTTTCAAAATCTCGAATGTCTTGTAAGCCTTGAACGTTTATATATATTAATTATAAATTTCGATATACATTCAAGAATTCCTAATTTTGAATAATACTTGAGAGAGGTCGAGACTCGTTATGTGTATGTATATATATATATATATATATATATATATATATATATATATATATATATATATGGTCCTTAAAAAAGTTTGTGAGTGTAGATAAATTTCGCATGGAGTGTTCCATGAATGATGCGGAAAATGTTTCAATATTTACTGCCATATCAGAGTTCCACGTATACTAAAATGGTATCAAATGCGGATGCGTTCAGATATTGAAATTTAAAATTATTTGACGAATATCTGCCCTGTTTCCATTTCTTGTCATCCTTCAGTTTTTCAGTTTTCAGCTGCATTTTCAACTATAGACATCAACACAATTTGGAAACGCCTGAAATTAGTGTGTATGCAAACGTATATATTTCGCTACGAAACCTCTTGAACGCACACATCTTAAATAAAGTGTCGACGGAAAACGGACTTAAACGAAAACAGATAGCAGCACATACGAAAGTTTGTTCATTATTTGTTTACATCGATACAACGTTCCAAATCGCTGTGGCTCCTTTCTAAATCCACTCGAATTGATCCCGAGGAAATGCTGTAATGGCTATCGAATTTTGACAGCCATTATACTATTTTCTCAGGATCAAAGTGCGTCAATTTAGATAGAACTAAAAATATAGACATCTAAGATCAATACGTGAAGAGAAAGAGAACAACAACATATGTGGTGTGTCAGCATTTGTCTAGTTAATATAGTGTTTTGTTTTACCTTGCCATTAATAGAAGATTCACACACACATACAGAAATTTTCATTTTTACTATTTTCTTAGACTTTGGAATTCGATTGTGAAGTTCCGCAATATTCTCTTATATTGTCCGCGTAGCGAAAAGATCTTGTTATGTATGCACAAATTATGGTACTTTTTTGCTTGTTCTCTGGGTTTGGTCGACTTGCTCCTTGAAGAAATAAACTAAAATGTTCACGAAACGTCGGGATAAAACACAAAGAAAGTGTGGTCCAAACCTGGAAAATAAGGAAAATATTAGACAACACCACGAGAACTTAAAGAATCAATTACAGCACTTCTATATGAAATAAATATTGTCACAAGTTTTGACAATTCTAGACGCCATATTGAGCCAAAAGCTCAAGTAAAAATAAAATATCTTCTTTTTGAGCTTGAGTCTTTTCTCTACTCGTAAATACACACACACACACACACACACACACACACACACACACACATATATATATATGAACTTTTATTGCGTAAAAGGTTTTGCAATTCAGTATAATTGATACAAAACACTAGGTAGACGGGAAATAACATTCGGTCACTAATGCAGCTCATTATCGGTTTAGTTCTCTTTTAACAAGCATTTTACGCGAATACGCTCAACTGTATTTTCACTCCAATCGTATTTTCTCTTCCGCAAATCTTCTCGCAATTTTCTTCATGTTAGTACGTTAATCGTTACGTAGCGTCTGTTTTTCCTGTTTATACTTTCCTCGAAACAATACATTAAACACGTACGGTTATTTCTGTGTTACAGTGCAGCGGCCATGCGGTACGATGCTTCGCCGGCGGGCCGCGCAAGAGCAACGAGTCGCAGTGCCCGATGCTGCAAAAGGTGGAACGGCCGATTCTATCGACAACGACGACGCCATCGATGATGACGGCGTCAACGCGACAAACCACGACGATCGTGCGTAACCACTTGAACAGCACATGCAGCGTCACAAATTCACCGCATCAGAAGAAGCTGCGCTTCAATCTCGCGAAGGAGAGGAAGGCTAGCACGACTCTGGGTATCATCATGAGCGCCTTCATCATCTGCTGGCTACCATTTTTCGTGCTGGCACTAGTACGGCCGTTCCTTAGTGATCCGGATGCGATTCCTGCCTTCATTACAAGTCTCTTTCTTTGGCTCGGCTATTGCAATAGTCTGCTGAATCCAATAATCTATGCCACCCTAAATCGCGACTTCCGCAAGCCATTCCGCGAGATTCTTTATTTCCGTTGCGGCACCCTTAACCACATGATGCGCGAGGAGTTTTACCAGAGCCAATACGGCGATCCGGTCAATAATTACGAGATTAAAGCTGGCGAGAGTGCGGAGAGTGCAGACCGTTTCGACGATCATCACGAAGGCATCGTCGAGTCGATGGATGTCGCCGGTGCTGGCGCCGGCACCTGCGGGACCGGCACTCCAAACGAGAGTTTCCTGTGATCCGAGAGGAGACGTTCCTCGAGGACGATTGTCGAGGACCGTCGCGGTAATATTCGACGGAGACCGCCATCATCGTGCTGCATCGAACAACTTCACGTAGCGCCTAATGAGATCCTTCTGTGATTCTCCGGTGAATTAGAACGTTTCTCTATTTCCATACATCTTCACACAATCGACGATGATTGTCGCGGTGAGAATAATCGTTCTAATGCAGAACACACACCAGTTTTGCAGACCACAAATTTTCTTGCAGAACGCGTTTCTAGGACTATTGTCCGATGAATGGTTTCTTGAACGTTTGTGATCTTAATAAACCAACAGAGTAAACTAACCGAAAAGCATTGCAGCCTCGATCAATCGTTTCGCTAAATTCAAGGTGGTGATGTAATTAGAACGCAGAAAATAAAAGTGGAATGAGCGTCCACATATGTACTCGTCTTAGAGGAAACGAGATAAAGGTTATTCGCGTTGTAAAGTCACCGCTTGTTTTATGTTGTTGATGGTTTACCAGTTTTGTACTTTTAACGCTAGTCATTCGTCGTAAGGAAAACAACTATTTATTCTCAATTTGTCCGAGACGTACGATCGATCCACTCAGGACACATAGTCACATTAGCAGAAAGGATCGTTGCGATCGTTGAATTTGACGAACTCGTGGGAATAAGTTATAATGAGAAATTGAGTTTGTTATATTTCAAGGAAGAAGATAACCGATACGCAACGGACTTGAATCATCATCGGAAACGCGTTCTCGCGAAACAACAAAGATTTATGATGCAAAAAACGTCGCGGTCGAGAGTAAGTAAATCAAAATCGGTTGCAATAATCCCATATAAATTCCAAGAAACATATCGAAATTTGTAACAAAAACCAAACTATTTGCGCGTATCATGATTATAATTAATACAATTATATTTGCATGGGCGCAACTGACGTGCAATCTGCAGAGCTAAAGCTAACGATCCAATAAACCAGTACTGACGCAGTTGATTGACTCGCACAAACGTCGCGCAATCTTGATGGACAAACGACCGTACAAACAACAGTCGTTGCACAGGACAATCAGACGAATGAAACGTGTTTCCCGCAATTCCGGATTTTATTCTCCACGGAGACGCCAACGAGACGATGAGATTGAATTTTCTACATTGTCATCGCACTGTGACGTCGATAACCGAAGCGCTCGAACTTGAACGTGATTAGAACAAAATGAGAACAAAAGAGAGAAAGATTTTATGCGCTGTACAGAGTGCTCGATAAATAGTAATGGAATCGAAGAAAAGATAATCCCCTCCTCCCCCTCGTAAAAATATAAATCCGAAAATACAAAAGAAATTGTTGTACAGTGATAATATCTGATAATTGTCATATCAACTGCCGTACGAACTCTGTAAGTATGGTATGAACTCTATAGGTTTCAAGAAAGATATCTCTACAATCCGTTGACAATCTGCTGCCAACGTGGTATATGTTGCTGGATGTAGAGGTGATGCTTTATCTGCATATGATACATGTTTTAGGATATAATAATAATCAGATACTCTGTATGAGAAACTTTATTCCCGAAAAAAATCTATTTTCTTGAAAACAAAGTATCGTATAAAAAAAAGTTTTTAAAAAATCACTTCTTATCGACTTCGTCGATATACTATAATTTATTGAGCATTTTGTGTATTGCACGTAACTATATATCATCATCCAGCGAGATGGAATACAGCAAAGAATTGCTTGCTTAAAACTTTACTCACACTGATAGTACGAGAAAAAATGTGTGTTTTTTTTACGAGAAGCTTACAGCCATTTTATAATCAATTTAACTGCGCTAGATTAAAGAAAGTGAGAAAAAGGAATAAAATTGCACTTTATCTTACACACTCTGAGGTCAGCCGCACAAAATTACTAATGGAACTCGATTCCTACTTTGTATGCAACGTTACTAAAAAGGAGAATGTATTTTTTCGCATTTTATAGAAAGAGAATAAAAATATATCAACGATTATAAACTGTTTTTATAGTGCGATACACATTGTGTCTCATAATAATTGCCTAGATAGTATAATATTCCTGGACCAAAATAGGGAGCAACATGTTTCTTTTTGTAAAGATTTAGCATATTAATGCACCGTCATAATGTATAATTTTTTTTTTTAATTATTAATATTATTTTTATATGTTTTCTTCTCAAAAGATTCTTGTTGCTCACTTAAGAGCAACAATTAAATAGACAACATTAAAAAATAAAATAGGACAATACGTTTTAATTTCAAATCGGTTAAGTACAATCAAGCAAATAAGATCAGATGAGAAGGTGAGAAGATTTTTAAATCAAAGAAAGTACTTTAGTTTGCAACAGATAAATTTTGCTTAAAAATGCGAACCATGTGACTTTTTACTTGTGGTAACAAATTTCTATTTGTCTCTGCAACATGATAATTTTCGTCGCGCAAATATTCAAGCCATGTTCTCATACGATAAACCATACGCGACGGGGCGGAGGGCAGATTCCTTCGAAAACATTGATCCAAGTTATGCAGAGCGACACGAGGTGCCGAAGCACACCGTTCGAGATGCATTATATGAAGTACGAGGTATCTCGCAGAAGCATGCACCGTAACCAATAAATGCAAGGAACGCGCACGCGTGTGTGTATGTGTGTTTGAATGGATGTGTGGATGGATGGCAGCTCTTGCCTCGATATCGCTTAGAGGGCATTGCGTGCGAGAACGGCAGCAATGAAATTTGCAAGACATTAGGCGCAGTTGGAGCTAGTTTGATTTTGATTGGAGTCAAATCAACATAGAATCAACGCAAAATCTCAGGTTGAACGTCTCGAGCTTGACTTTTACGAGCCAAGTCAAGCCGAGTCGGCTCATGATCGTGTGGCACGCGAATACACATCGTGATAATCGCCAGTGCGCCAGATTACCGAGATAAGCCAAAGCCAATACCGATACTGGGAAAATAATTGTCAAAATAAAAGATGGTTAATAAATATTTTGATTTCCGTAATTGATAAGAAAGAAAAGAATATTTTGGTTTGAAATAGTATTCGAGATAGTAATTATTTAATTTTTATAGACAATCTGTATATAATTCACACATCATATAAATAAATTTAAGTTTTCAAATAGTCATTAAAAAATAAGAATTTTTCTTTTATTAATAAAATACTGTTTTAAATTAAACAGTTTGTTAGTGGAATATAAATAATGTAAGGCCGACCATTTGTGATGTGCAATGTCTTACAAATTTTGTCCATACATGCTGCCGGCTTCTTCTATGACAAAACGGAATTGTCTTTTACTATTGGTGTCGTTATAAAATAAACTTGGATTAATATAATCAGAGCTCACAGAAAGCCACAATAACAGTTCTCAAAAAGTAGATAACATTAGTTGAACAATATAAAATGAGAGTCATCCCCTATTTTTATTCATAACGTCGATCTCATAGCCGTATAATAAATATTTCCTTTCAAGAATGCATATAAATATTAAATATTATTTACACATTGTATACTGTCAGACGAAATATTTAATTGCATATGATATTTTTCTACAACTACATTCTTTCACTAAATATTTCTATTAAGAAAATGCTGGAATGGTTATTAAACCTACTTGATGAGAAAGAGCTCAAAGAAATGAAAAATATCGATAACTAAAATCAATACGACAAAAAAAGGAAAAGATGATGTGCTGACACTTGTCTAATTAATCTAGTGCTCTGCTTTATCTTGCCGTTAGTGGAAAATTCACATACATGTAACAATTTTTTATTTTCACTCCTTGTTTAAAGCAATTGATACTAAACGATAATGTTACATCAGATTTAGATTAGGATCCGTTTAAAGCGCGTAAAGAAAGATTGTGATGGGCCTATACGGCGCTTCGAAGCGTTTGCAGCGTCAAATAGAGTTCTGTGTCCTTAGTCTAACTTCAATCTAAATTCATGTAAATCAATAAGATGATAATTGATTTACATTGAAATTCAGACTGAACGTAATCTTATCGTTTTGTATATATCATTTTAAATAGGATTATACTTTAACTACAGACTTCAAAATTTGATTCTTAAAGTGCCACATAATATTCTTATATATCATCTACGTGACAGGAAAATCTGAATACATAAATTGCAGAACTTTTGTATGTAAAGTAAATATTGTCATGAGAGTTAATTTAGCTCTAGACGCTATATTGAATTGATCAAATAATTTTGATTCCGTTATAAATTGAACCTTGCTACTGTTTATTAACACATTTACGTTTTTTTCTTAATAGCTTTTGTAATTGTATGCAAGTAATACATAGAATAATATGCAAAAAGAAAGTGAAATTTGATTAGTAATGTAGACGATTCTAACATATTCTCAAAAACTATTTCGATGTTTTTCCTGCAAATACTGATATCGTAGAGGGTGAGAAAAAAAAACAAAAATAATTTTACGAAACAAAACATGGTTAATAAAAATATCGTTTGTCTTTTTGCAGGAAAATCCTAACCTTTTCAGATTGATGTATGTATGTGTACTCGATTACTAAACGGTGGCTACACATTTTTTAGTGTGTGCACAATGAAGTTACAGTGCTTCTGTCACAATTGAGAGATACTGCTGATTACACGTTACACGTAATCAGTTAGTAAAGAGATATACTTAAATCTTCAAAGTCGAAGTTTGTAATATAAATTATGAAAGAATAACAGTATATTTCAATGTTATATTAATCAAATTTATTTTTACAGCCTATACTGTCACTTCGATTCCTTCGCATAACCGATTACAGCGCGAACGCGTCAGCATTGTATCTTAATCAGGAGACAATCAAGAGCACTGCACTTCATTCGGAAAAATATGTAGCCACCGTTTAGTAACCGAGTGTAAATACGCTCGACAGCGTTACGAAAAACGTGTATGCCTGTTATATCACTCGCTATATTATACGCAGCAATATTTCGCTAAATATATATATAAAAAAACATATAATTATATAAATATAAGTATATCGCGCGTATTTGGTGCTAAAACAAAAAATCTTTCCAACTAACGGCAATAGATACCTACTTAAACAAAGAGATAACTTTAATCGTAAAGAAAAAAGCCATGTACCAAACGTGATAACATGTTATACATTTCATATATTTGTTTATACATGCGCATATAAATTACGCGCCATTTTTTCTGACGTAAGAACTTATCACTAGCTAGACAATCTTACATGTTTCCTAAACGACCTATATTTGTATGTTAAATCAAAAATATGTTAAAATATTTGAATGTATTGGAGAAACTGTTGGGACTGTCATAATTGAAGAATCTGCGTGTTGGTAGAGCTCAACACACCAAATTTTTCAACAATCTAAAGACTCTGCGCCTTTATATTATTGTACACTATTAAATTTATTTTGGAATCTGACACACATTTAACAGAAAACAGAAATGCAGAAATAAGTGAAGGAGAGCGAATAGAATAAATTTTTGCAGTATACAAAATGTTCCTCATACCGCATTGCTCGTTACATTTTTGGACCAAAAAAAGAAAACATGTGTGGATAAGCGCGGCGTAAGTACATCGAGCGAAAAGGCTTAATACGCTTAAGGAATCGATCAATAAAAAGCAAAAGTAAATATGTGCTTACATGTTTTTTACGTGAAGCACATGTTGTGTGTCATGCATGCGAAAAAAAATTTATTTATTCATTAAAACGAAATGTTCGACGTACATAATCCATTATGTCGTGGCAACATTGTCTGGCCGAAAAAAAGCATGTGTCGTACAATCAGCGAAAGCGTTACAATAAAGAGAATTGAAAGTATAACGCAGATATGGAAATAAGACGATACTTTTTTCGTTCGAAAACTCGATATATTGCTAAGATGTCACACTATATACACATCCACCCACACATCCCCGTCCCACACACACACACACACATAGAGAGAGAGAGAGAGAGAGAGAGAGAACGAAGGGGGAAATGGAGAGAGAGTAACGAGGTACAATGCAACATCATCGATGTCGTCATAGCCAATTCGATGTTTAAGAATAAATGTATAGGTACATATGTTGTGAATGACAGAATGAGGGTCTACTAAGACCAAATGTTCTCTTACGAGTTCTATTCTCGATAACGACTTAACTTATTAATAAACTTTACTCAGAAAAAATAATCGTAGACCACTTTTTGTGGTACACGCAATATTGTTTGTGGTATTGTAATCCAAAAAACACAACGTTACATGTAACGTACAAGTTAGTTGTAATTTCCTACTCAACAATGTAACTGTTATATAACATGTATGTTATATAACAGTTACATCGTTGAATAGGAAATTATAATTAACATATACGTTACATATAACGTTGTGTTCACTGAGAATATTGATAAAAAAGTTATATTTTAGTGTCGCTTTCGAGAGTAGAAACGAATCTTAAAAAAATATAAAGGTCCGTATTCATATCTCCATCTAGTGCCAGATCTATGTAGTTCTAAATAGGTATGCAATTCTTTAATCATTTAATTTTCTTTAATCATTAAGACGAAGCATTTAATATTAGATGAGTAATAAAGGACGTTCTAAATTTCTAACACGTCGACTGGATGTCTTCCAAATATCTAAATTACTTCGAAAACAACAAATAAATTCACAGGATATTTGTACACAGAATCTTGAAGATTTAGGGATGTTTCAAAAGTTCAGATATTTCGTTTAAATTGAGAACAAAAATTTGAAATGACTTTTAGGCGTAAAAAGTTTCAAAAAAGTTAGAGCACTTTTTAAACATCTTGTAGCAGTTTTTTGTCGTCTACATCGCTGTAGCTACTTATATACATAACAAATACGGTTCTTACTTATTATATGTTTGCGAAATTGGAATTACATAGTATATCAGAAACATATTAAAATACTGTTTAGCGCTGAGAATACGGACCGATGTGTAATTCATTACGGGGTATTACGTAACTTAGAAACTCACCTTGTAGCAAGTCAAAATTTTTTAGTAAACTTTCTATAAATGCAAACATAGCAAAGACTGGAGCAAATTACTACACTTTTTATTTTCTCTTCTTTAACAATTTATTAAAATTTATTTATGATATATCCCGTGAAAAAATTTTCAAAATTTCCGAAAAGTCTTTTTATATCATATAACAATATATCTTATCCTCAAACTTCTAATATTTTTTGCTAATTGCAAATATTTCAAGAATTCTGTGACAATTAGCTCTGTGTGGGCTAACATTATTACAATGTTTTCACGACCATATCGTATCTTTTTTATAGTACTATTAAAATAACCCTTTGTTATTTTAAAGATATAACTAATTCTATTCGATAATCCCCTCATAGCACAAGATTTTAAAGGGATATCTTGGGGACTTGTGTGGACATTTAGAAGTCCTCGGAATATTTTTAAGATATTCTGAGGATTTATGCGGACATTTAGTAATCCTCTGGATGTCTTTGAGACATCTTTTAAATCTTTTAAATGTGGGTCAGCTCCGCTCTTTTCTATTCATGCAAGACGTCCCGAAAAATTCATTGAATATTATACTTCAACTGTTCACACACAAAACTTACAGAATTTATATTAAATTTTTGATACTGGAATGATTTTGTCACTTTTGCTTTAAAAAAACAATAGACGTATGATATTGAGATAAACAATTTCTTAGTTTATGACACAAACAGAAATAAAAAAGAAAAAGAGGAGAAAGAAGACAGTACCTTGCGCGTAACAATCGATTACTTCCTTAGATAGACAAACTACCGAATAAATCGTTAATGATAAGTGTAACACTTTCTGGCACAACGCAATTATCTTCTCTGTACATAGTAGTTCGTAAACTTTTTATGTATGACCTTAAAATTTCAAGTCGTGCTAGTATATAGTCACGAACCAAAATGAACAGGTGAAGAGACAAACAAATATTCTAAAATAAATCTTATGGTGACTGAGTATGAAAAATCACCTGGTATTTAATTTTATTTGTTCAAATTTAATATCATCCAAATACCTTTGCTTCCTAACCATTCATATGTTACTGCAATAGTATTGTGTTACTGTAATAGTACGCTAACCCAGATAGCCAAGCCTGCAAAAGTCAGGTTTTGCTAAGTGTGTGCTGTATACTATGCTATAACATAATTTTAGCAGTAACGAAGTATGATCTGCTATGTCAGATAGTGCATAACAAAAATCTAACAACATCTGCGTCATGATATGATGGTAAAAATATTGCAAAAATGAGGCACGATATATCAGCAGAATAGGAACAAAATTTTAATTTATTGAGTATAGACATGATTTTTCGACATGAAGCAACATAAAAACGAACAGAGAATGACGTCATATCATGCGAATAGAAATAGAAATCAAACTAATTAAGTAACATCCCAATCAGGAAAAAAATATTTAAAAAATGTTTATAAAATGTTTTAAAATCATTTGGAAAATATTTTTAAAAACGTTAAAAATAATGGGATAAGTCCTCTTTTTTTATTAAAAAAACATTTATTTTAATGTTAAAAATAGTTTTTTTAACGATATAAAAACGTTTCAAAGTAATTTTCTTCATATGTTAAAAAAATGTTTTTATAACGTTAAAAAAACATTATTTCAAACATTAAAATAAACGTTTTTATAATGAAAAAAAGGGGACTTATTTATTTTTATTGTTTCATAAAAAAAACTCATTCCTAATTTTCTCATGTCTTATAACTGCTAGAACCGACGATTGTCAAAACACACTCTAAAGGGACGTCTACATTGGAAGTAAGCAGTAAGAAGCAAGAAGTAAGAATAACAAATTGACCAATCATAGTTGATTATTCTTCTCACATTCGACTGTGGTTGGTCAATTTCTTACTCTTACTTTCTTCTTCTTGCTATTTACTTCCAATGTAGACGTCCCTTAAAACTTTCGCAAATCCTCCCTCGATAATTTCGAATCTGAAGCGGTATGCCGGTCACCCATCCATTCTGACTGCGTTGCTTTTAACCTAACGACCGAGCAGCACGCGGTGATTCCAATGACTCCAACGATGTTCTTGCAATTTATGCTTATAAAATGTATACTTACAGTGTTCACAGTATATTATAACGTACCTAGCAAATACACGTTAGGCATTGATTCGCCTATCTATTTTATTTAATATCACTAAAGTTTAAAATAACATTATTTTAAAAAATTAAATGTTTACCTAAATTAACTTAGAAAAACATTTCAAAAATGTTAAAAATAATAAAATAATTTCTCTTTTTTTATTAGAAAAACATAATTTAATTTTTTAAAATAATGTTTTTTAACCTTATAAGATTTGTTTAAAATTTATTTCCTTCACATTTACAAAAACACTTTTATAACGTTAACAAAACATTATTTCAAATGTAATAAATGTTTTTTTTAATAAAGAAATGAGGTTTAACTCATTCTTGTTAAATAATATTAAAACATTTTAACTGCCTGTTTAAAACCTTTTTTCTTGATGCTTTTGTTGACGATCTAAAATGGGATTAAATTAATCGCAATTTTAATTCCATTTTTTATATTTCCAATGCTTCCAAAATTTCAATTCTCATTCACCTACCCAATCAGAAGCCAATATTTTAAAAATGTTTCTAACATGTTATTTTTTCATTTATTATTCACTTTCTCAAATCAATATCAAAAAAATTTTGTTGAATATTTTTTTACTAATATATAGTATTTATTAAATATTGCTTTTCATTAAATATTCACATAGAATAATAATTTTAAAATATTTTAAAAATATTTTTAAAATATCACGAAACAAGTATCTTAAGATAGTATTTAAAGCCAGCAGTACATGATGTTTGTTTTCATACTGGATTGCTTGCTAGATGGAAATACTCTGTTCTAATTGGTACATTTCTGAAGACGGACCAATCATTGAAAATGGTATTACATGTAGAGAGTCGTGCATCGATTGGCTATCGAATAGAGAATTTCTAGAGAACCTAAAATTTTCTTTACATATAATATTATTCTCAATGAGCGAACATCGATGTTTTCTAAACATCGATTCTTTTTGCCCATCCCTAGTGTGTGCTCCCCGCTTCACTCTATTAAGCTTGTCTATAATAGCTGTAAGAATATGGCTGTAAAGCCCGTATCAGACTACCAACTGCACAAGCCAACCCGACTGCCGACTCTCAATGGACCAATCGCCGACTTGGCGCCTCACTGTGATTGGTCCATTGAGAATCGGCAGTCGGGTTGGCCTATGCAGCCGGTAGTCTGATACGGGCTTAAGGCTGTAACGTGAGTTGTTAGCGAATGAAAATAATTCATTTCGCGTCTTAGGGCTATCGCACACAAATTGACATAACTGCATATGCATAGCATAAGATCGTATGGACCAATGAGCATCGAATATTAAGCATCGAACACCAATATAGCGACTTAATACTCGATGCTCATTGGTAGATACGGTCTTATGCTATGCATATGCAGTTATGTCAATTTGTGTGCGATAGCCCTTACAGTCTTACAATCATAATCTTACAGAAATTGTAGACGAGCCTATAGACGACAGAACATAGGGCATTCGGAGTCCATGTATACTATGGGTGCCATTACATGAAGCGCGGAAACGCGGAAGACAAAATCTTATTAGATTTCCGCGTTCCGCGAATTGAATCATTTCTTCCCGTTAAAAAAGCGGAAAAGCGGAAGGCCCAAAACTTTTCTCTATTGTTTTTTCATCAAAAGTACCAAGGGTATGAATTCCAAAAAAATATCAGGTCCGAACGTGTTTGAAGACATTAATGTAACGACGGTTAGGTTGAACAACTTGTGACAACTTGTGACAATGGATTTTTCCGCGCTTGTTCCGCGACTTTATTTCTCCTTATATTACATGGAGCACAATTTACGCGGAAAGGCGGAACGGTTTGGTGACAAATAAACATCTGTATTCATTTTTTAAAATTGTATTAACTTAATTTACTGCAATTTTTACTAATATGTTTATCTTTTCACCTTATCTGTTGAATACAAGCATTTTAATTAATAAATACCATTAAAAATTAATATTTTATAATTCCCCATACCGCTTTTCCGCTCAAAATATGTCTCATGTAATATATGACAATCAAAACAGACGCGGAACGCATAGCGGATCTAATGAGATTTTGTCTTCCGCGTTTCCGCATTTCCGCGCTTCATGTAATGGCATCCTATGTCTATATTGTGTGCCATGGGGAAGCGTCCCGATCACGGTACGATTGGACACGACCAATCGATGCAAAGAATTATCTAGTGAATTACTAGGTCGAACCAATCATTACAGAGTGCTTTCCAATTGCTTATAATATGAATTTTATTGCACACTTTGTCTGTGCAGAAAGAGACAGAGAACACAGAGGGGCTGTACATATTGGCTTTACTTTTCTGACCGTATGCGAAGTCCATGTATACTACGTCCATGGCACACATCCTTGCATAAAGACATAATACACAACGCATAAGAAAATTGACTAACTAGAGTTCTCATTTCTATTGCCACGATGAAAATAAAGGACTCTGATTGGTCAATTTTCTTATGCGTGTGCATTATCCCTTTATACAAGAGTATGTGCTTCCCGCTTCACTCCGTGAAAACACGTTCGGCACATACTTTTGGATTCTGCAGACTAACGTAACACAACATCGTTTTTTCCGACGCTTTGTAGCCAGTAATTTAGAATCCGTCAATGAATACCACTCAGTGGTCGGTATTCATAGTCGAATCTTATAGCGTGTTCGACTGGCCCTGGGTTAATTGCTTCGAGAGCGATTAATGACGTCATAAGTCTCTACTAGTCAATCATAAAGCTTATAAATACATGTTCGACCAATAAACGTAGACTGAATAACCCAGAGTGGGTTAACCCAGAGCCAATCGAATATGCTATTATTTTAAGCCGTCTTAAGTAATGTCTCAAGATGCGAATACGACTCTGTGATTGGTTCATGACATCTTAAGATGGTACTTAAGATGACCTTAAATATAAGATCGGACTATGAATACCAGCCAATGTTTTTTATTACATCAAAATGAAATAAAAATGGAAGCTATCAACTAATTATCATTTCAAAATACTTAAAGGATAACACAATGTTCAAGAATATATATAGAAACACCTTCAACTAAATCAATTTCTCCGTCAAATACTTTGCAATAGCACAGAAGGAAGATACGAAATACTTGATTTTTGTAACAGCTTCTTTTTATTTCTCAAACTGTTACTTATATAGCAAGTACATATAGAGTATGTCAAGTATCGGCAACATTGTAAGTATAGTTATACTTCATTTACGCATTGCTTTTGCGTCTTTTGACTCATTAATTACAAACTATACCTGATGTATGTGTGTACACGTATGCGTGCTCGTTGTGTGTATCTGTGTACGTGTACTTGAAAGGAAATGGGAGAGAAAGAGGAGTAAGGGGGCGAGGAGGGAGGGAGGGGAAGAGAGAGAGACACCTGGAAAAAAGCAGAATTGTGGATTATATGACCTTATTGTTACGAATTTACAGAGTTTCTTTGGACACCCTGTATAATGATAAATTCATCGATTAGTTACTTCAATATCCTCTTCTTAAGCTTCTGGCGTAGCTAACGGTGCTTCTTTCTTTTCTTCAATGACAATAGTATCATTTTTATCACCAGCTGCTTTATCATTCTCATTTAATTCTTTTTTCGGAGCAACCTTAAAATATAAGATAATATAAATGTATTTAATAACAATAATGATTCCCTGTATAAATTACATTCATAGTATATAATTAAATACTATAATTATACTATAATTTGACTTCTCTCTTGTAATCTAACTTATTTCAATTTAATTAATTTATAATTTAAGCAATTCATTTTCGAAATAAAATGTTTGCTTATTCTATTTTACATGTTTGCACATTTATACATCCAATACATCTATGTCAACTTTGTGAAATCTCTTTCAGAGAGAGGACTAATAATTACAATCTCACCTCTTCTTTGCTAGCTTCATCAAAATTTTCCACCAAATCCGGCACTTCATCATCCTCCTCCAATGTGGTTTTACCAACCGCACTACCAGCAACTGTACTGGCTAATCGTTTGAGCTGTGTGAGACCTTCAGGACCGAGTTGACTTAATATCCCTGGCAACATCTCGGTGATCTGTTTGTTTTCGCCATGACCAGTAATAGCAAATGTGTTAGCAGATAAACTGGCTTGAGCTTTTGGATTGTTAAAATGAATGACTGTGCCATCATCCTTGATCATATTAACTTCTTCTATGCCAGGAATCGTATTTACAGATAGTTTCTTCAGACAGCTTTGTAGCTTCTTGTCATCTGTAGCAGCAGTTGCATGTACAACCTGCAAAGGCAAAAAATAATAGAATGCATATACAAAGGCAAATGGCACTGATCAATTTTATAATATAATCAATAGTGAATATGTGTCATGACACTCACCGATTCATTTTTGTCTTTCGCAAATACATAGCAGATGAATTATACAATTAACTATATAAAGAAGAAGAGATACTTCTTAAACATTATAGGAAAATTTTAAGTTTTACTAAATTATTAAAATTTTGTAATCAGACAATGTGTGATTTAGTAGCAAACTACTAAATTATCTTGACTCAACCCACTGACACATACACTGACTCAACCTTACAAAATAGATGAGGAGACTTATAACTATTGTATTTATTCTCTTTTATGGGGTCTCTTATAAAGTTTAAAAGCACAATCAAGCACACTTGTATAGTTTGCAGACATAAAAGATATATTAAAAAAATACATGTAATTCTTATTTTTCCCTAGCAGCTTTACGAAACTAACATCACTATTTTTGGCTTTCTGCCACTTTTAATAGCAAACACATCACAAAGATATCAACTTGTTCGCATTTGTTCTCAGAAAGGAAAATCACTATAAATTTACCCTATAGAAGCTAAAATGCATAATCTACAATGGCAGTAGGAGTAATAGTAAGAAATAAGCAGTAAGCAAATGGACGAAACACAATCAATTATTCTTAAATCGTGAGAATGAAATTGGTCAATTTACTTACTGCTTATTTCTTACTACTGCCATTATAGACAACGTATTATAGACAATCTCTTAAAGAGACAAATGCTATATTTGATCATTTTACATATGTCATTATAAGGTTGCATTCCAAAACGTTCTTTTCGAATAAAGTTTTTCGAAAGCCTATAGTATATGTAAAGTGAATCATAAATTTTCAGTAAAATTTCTTTCAAAAAGAACATTTTAGAATATAACCTCAGAACATAAATCATGCAATGCTATGCGTGTATCGCGTACTTAGACAAAAGATAAAGCCATGGTATCTTTTGTAATAAATGCAAACGATTTTCATAACTCAAAACACAAGATCACTTTGTTGCATAAATTTGATTATGTAAAAAGAAAATAACGAAAAAACTTGCAGTATTGCGTTGCTAAATGAAATAAAAAAATATTCACAAAAAGAGAAAGAAGGGAGGGGAGAGAAAAGAGAGAGGGAGAGAGAAGCACGAAGAACAACTCGTAGCAACGATCATGATCATGCTGATAACGTGACGGCGGTATGAGTCGAAGAGGACTAATAACATGAACAATCATTGTTTCCACAGTTTGACGGTGAATAATAAACATACCTTCTTCTTGCGTCGTGGAGTACCCTTACCGCCGATTCGCACTTGAGCCTGCAACTTCTTCAGTTTCTCAGGATTCATAGTATTAACCTCTGTCGCTCGCGGAGTATCAAAGCGCAGAAGATCGAGTAGCGTTAAAGATGACGTCTGGTCACAACGACAAAACGGAAAATAGACGCACGGGACAAAAAGTGTTGCGTCGTGAGAGCGTTGTGAAAAACGACCGGCGGTGACAAACACGTGCTCTACACTCGCAACAAGAGCCTCAAGAAAATGGAAGCGTACGCTTCACTTCAGTTCCAAGTTATTCAACTTCCGGTTCCGGCAGTGACGGAGGAGCGTTTCCGCCGGGAAATTCAAGCCCATTAGGGTGCTTTTCATATAGGATGCGTTTCATCAGGGTTGGGTACGCATAATACCTCACGTTTTATGCGTGAAGTTTTATGTGCAGAAAACTCAAGTAATCTGCGCAGATAACTAAATGAGGTTTTCTGCTGCATAAAACTTCTTTTAGAGCTATTCTACAATTGCGTAAGCGTGGTCGTAAGTGGTTGTAAATGATTACGCAACCAAAACAACCAATCAAAATAAAGTAATCAATGATTAAAACATTCTGATTGGTTGGCTTTATAACTGTTTTGTATATAAGACAAAGCATAAATATTTGTTTATGATCATGAAAAACATGAAATTGTGAATGTAGTTCATCTGTATTCCATTTTTTAATTTTTTTTTTATATCTACATATATATACAGATGTATTAATGAAACTGATTCAAGAGCAGTGAGTAGGATTGTACCTAGAAAGAAATAAAAAGTCGAGTCGACGTCGATTCGACTTTTCATTTCTGACTTGATAGGTTATTTTAGAAGGCTTGGTTCGACCGTCTGGGGTACGTACATCTCCCTAAGATCCTTTTCGAACGGGAGCGTTCCGATTGATCACGGTACGATAGGACACAACCAACCGATGAAAAGAATTATCTAGTGAATTACTAAGTCGAACCAATCATTACAATCTGTGTCCAATCGTATCGTGGTCAATCGGGTCCCACCCGTTTTCTGCATTTTATACATGTTTTATATAATAATATTAATATTAATATTATTTATTAATTAATAAATAATTTTCAAACTGTAATTTTAAACTCGTAGGTTTAATTGTAACTTCCGTCACATATATGAATAGTATAAACAGAATTCTTGTAAATAAATTAGGATACATGTTATTTTAAATTAGGATTATATTTTACACTTCAGATTTCTCATATGATAGTTTATAATAAGTATGATTTTAATAAAATATAAACAATCTTACCACATGTTAAAAAAATATGGATATAATCGTGAGATTTTACAAAATTATTACTTGATGTCGAATGCGCATTCTTTACTTCTTACTCCAGCTTGTTCCTATAGTAAGGCATGGGTGTATATCAGTTGGACACGGGCAATTGGACACAGTCCAATCACAAGTCGCTGTTCCAAGGGACCCTACAAATGTCTCTAATCACACGGTGCTGTGATTGGCTGTGTCCAAATGCACTGTGTCCAAGTGCACCGCTCCCGTAAGGCATTGAGTTAGAAGAAGTTGTCATAAACTACAAAAGTACTAGATGGTCGTGCCTATCATAATTTTCAGTCTTAGTGGAACTAACTCTAATTGTCGTAAAAACCCAGTGTTTCTTAAGCCCGTATCAGACTACGGATTAAGATTGAGATTGAATTGAAAATTGGCCAATCAGAGCAATGTTCACCAAACTTGAGCTTAGTGAATTTTGCTCTGATTGGCTAAATTTCAATTCAATCTCAATCCTAATCTATAGTCTGATACGGGCTTTACTAGAATCGATTATTTCGCTCGATATATCGGACTATCAATAATCGGTGCTCACCAACTAAGTTACTAGAGTCATAATAGATTATTTCTTATCGATGTCCCATCTCTAGTAGAGACATCTGAGCTGCGTTCCAAAACTCTTCTCAACGGGTAGAGTAGCATTTCATTGACCAATAAGAACAAAGATAACTAAGATTTCTTTATCATAATTGGTCAATTACATGTACTCTACCCACCGAGTAGAATTTTTGAACAGCCCTGTACTCTGGTTAGAATGACTCTATAGGTTTGTTCGAGTTGCTTGTACTTTTCGGGAGCGGTGCACTTGGACACGGTGCATTTGGACACAGCCAATCACAGCACCGTGTGATTAGAGACATTTGTAGGGTCCCTTGGAACAGCGACTTGTGATTGGACTGTGTCCAATTGCCCCGTGTTCAACTGATATACACCCGTACTTTTCACACTTTTACACCTAATGCACTTGTACACTAGTGCACCTCAAACAACACAAATTTTCCAAAATACATTCTGAAGACATTTTCAGGACGGAGGGACGTCATCAGAGTATTCTTAGGACGTTCTTTGAAGGTGTGAATGGTCTGAAAATAGCTAATATTCAATAAGTTTATTCGTATTAATTGAACTTTTTACACTTTCACACTTAGTGCATATTAATTCTTTAGAGGTTTTAAAAATGGTGTCATGTTTTCCGTTCGTGTTATGAGTGTAAATGCAATTCTGATACACTTTTCACTCTTGCTTGGGATCAAGTGTAAAAAGTGTGTTAGAATTGCATTTACACTCGTAACACAAACGGAAATCATGACGTCATTTTTAGAACCTCTAAAGAATTAATGTGCACTAAGTGTGAAAGTGTAAAAAGTTCAATTAATGCGAATAAACCTATTGGATATTAGCTATTTTCAGACAACTCATATCTTCAAAGGACGTCCTAAAAATATTCTGATGACATCTTTCTATCCTAAAAGCATCTTCAGAACGTATTTTGGAAAATTTGTGTTGTATGAGGTGCACTAGTGTGTAACGGGCATTAGGTGTAAAAGTGCGAATAGTACAAGGGACGTCTACATTGGAAGTAAATAGCAAGAAGTAGGAAGTAAGAGTAAGAAATTGACCAACCACAGTCGAATGTGAGAAGAATAATCAACTATGATTGATCAATTTCTTATTCTTACTTCCTACTTCTTACTATTTACTTCCAATATAGACGTCCCTTTAGGCTAATGGCACATAAAAAAACTTAAGCAGTAAAACGTAAGCAATAAACAAATTGACCAATCACAGTCATTGATTCTTCTTAAGTTCCAAGAATCAACGACTGTGATTGGTCAATTTGCTTACTGCTTACGTCTTATTGCTTAAGTTTTTCTGTGTGCCACGGCCCTTACATTTGTAAATGAATACGCTCAGCGAACACAACGGCAGCATTGGCAACTCTGGTGCCGCGAAACACGTGGAATGGTAGTGTGTCGTACACGAGGAAAATAAATTAGTTGCAAATTTACTCTTAGCAAATATTTACTAGAATATATGAGAATATATATGTATATATATTTTTATACATTTGCCAAGAAAATTTCAATATGTGATTTATTTATAATTTTAAGCTACTTTTGTTGTTATGTAGATATATCTTGTAAAGAATTATATTTTTCTAAGATTCGAACACTTGACCAACTTGAAATTGACAATTGAAGGAAAGGCTCGGACATTAGATTGCCATATAAACGAAGAGAAAGATGTCTTTTCGAGGACGTGGTGGAGGATTTAGTAGAGGAACAGGCTCCTTTAGAGGCGGTAGAAATGCTGGAGGATTTAACAGAGGACGCGGTGGTGGTTTCGATAGAGGCAGTAGAGGGTAAGTGGTAATTATACAGTTTACACTCCTCACCTTCGATTTTAACGAAAAATAATCAACGCATTTTTAAAGGCAAACAACTTTTCTATTTGGAAAATTCGTCGCTCTCTACTACGAAACGAGATATTAATTGACAAAGTTGATCACTATTAAGGTTAGGAAAATTGTCACACCGACGACAAACAGCGACGTGTATACGCTCCGTAGCCACTTGCGCATCATAAACAGTGCGTGAATTAGAAATATATTTGAACATACCTGGGTAATATAACATTATTGAAACATTAGCATTCAAACATTTGCAAACGATGAATTGGGTGTCCAGGGTGTCCAGGGGCGAAACCCCCGGTTTAATAAAAATAATATTCTAAAAAAAAAAAGAAATACATCTCGCATGATGTTAAGCGTGTATTCTTTTTGCGTGCGATTTATACGTCCTACCTTGTGTAGGGGTCTTGCTAATCTTTCCAATATCTATTTTAGTACATAGTAGACTCATACATTTAGTAAGGCGAAGATTTAGTAAAACATTCTCACTTGTGTAGGGATCTTGCTAATTTTTCCGATATTTATGATTTTTACTATATTGTAGATTTATTTGTTTAGCAAGGCAAAGATTTAATAAATATATACTCTGTGGTAACATACAAAAGTACACTAATGTGAAACATATGTGTACTTATAATGCATTGCTTACATTTCTATAAATATATCTATTAAACTTTTGTCTTACTAAATAAATGAGTACAATATACTAAAAATCGTTAATACCGAAAAGATTAGTAAGATCCCTATGCAAAAAAGAATGTTCTACTAAATCTTTGCCTTACTAAATGTATGAGTTTACTATTAGTATATAACTTTGTCTACTATTAGTATATGCATAAATACACATGTTTTACATTAGTGTACTTTTGTATATTGTCACAGAGTATAGGCCTGTTCTTTGTAGCTGCACTGCTGAACTAGTGCAATAAGTTAGAGTGAGAAAATGTATATTTGTCTTACTTCAATATATTACACCAGTTCAGTGCAGCTACAAAGAATAGGCTTTAGATTTATTAAATCTTTGCCTTACTAAACAAATGAATCTACAATATAGTAAAAATCAAATATCCCCTACGCAAGGTAGGACATATGAATCGCATGCAAAAAGAATATACGCATCATGCGAGACGTATTTTTCTTTTTTTTTTTAGAATGTTATTTTTATTAAACCGGGGGTTTCTCCGGGACTCGCCCCTGGACTCTCAGTTCATCGTTTGCAAATGTTTGTTAATGTTTCAATAATGCTATATTACCCATGTATGTTTAAATATATTTCTAATTCACGCACTGTTTGTAATGCACAAGTGGCTACAGAGCATATACAAGTCGATGTGACAGTTTTTCTAACCAATAGCGATCAACTTTGTCAATTGATATCTCGCTTCGCAGTAAAGAGCGACGATTTTTCCAAATAGAAAAGTTGTTTGTCTTTAAAAAACACGTCGATTGAGTATTTTTTCGTCAAAATCGCAGGTGAGGAGTATAAACTGTATAATTACTGGGTGAGCTATTCAGATGATCGTTACAATAAAATCTAGAGAAGAGCTCATAAGATGTACTGGCAGATTACAATTAATATCGAACCACAGTATGAACTCTGTTTTCTGCTTGAATTTAACACAGATATGATCAAGGGCCTCCGGAAGAAATAACACCATTAGGACATTTCACATGGCCTATAGAAGAGGGACTCGTTGTCAAAGTCGATATTGAGAAAGTGCCCTTTTTTAACGCTCCGATATATACAGAAAACAAGAAACATATTGGGAAAATAGATGAAATATTTGGCAGTATCCGTGACTATTATGTATCTATCAAATTGCCGAAAGATATAAAACCTTCTAGTTTTATAAAGGATACTCAGGTATTGCAATATTACAAATAATATAAATCTTTACATGTATATATGTATTACTAGTTGTTATTGATTTCAGTTGTACATTGATCCAGCAAAATTGCTGCCTCTTCAAAGGTTTTTGCCAAAAGCACCTGGGGAACAAAAACGAGGCAGTAATGCCGGACGTGTTATGAAAAGAGGTGCTGGTGGAAGGGGGGGAAGCGGAAGAGGCAATAGTAGAGGATCCTATGGAAGAGGAGGTGGTGGTGGTGGTTTTGGCAACAGGGGAACTGGTGGATTTAGAGGTCGTGGATTTAATCGTAATAACACAGGTGGAAGTCGCGGAGGAGGTAGAGGAAGATGGTAAATACAAATAAATCCGTCAAAGAAGAATTCTTTCTTTAACACATATTGAATATATTATATTTGTAATATGTAATAAAATAAAGTAAAAATATTTTAGATTGACAAAGGAATTGATATGGTGTATGTAATTATTTCATTTTATTTTCATGAATTAAACTATATCAGTGAGACGACATTTATGTGTCTACGTATACATGCATCGACGTATCATTTGTAATCTACAGATTTTGCAGAAAAACTAACAGGACAGTCAAACCTGATCAAACTTTATATGTTTCCCAAGTTCTTTTTCTGCTCTTTTCAATAATTTATCACGCCCTCTGTGCTTGAATTTTTTTTTATCATCAAGTTTTTCTTTCCGATTTTGCTCAATCTTATTCCAGTATGACTTCTCTTCATTATCTGAAATATGAAGTAATTAAATATATAGACACACAAACACAATGTAGAATTTACCTTTTAAAATTGTCAAACGTCTTCCTTCGTGATTTTTTTGCACCAACAATTGCGCATCTGCTGCTGTATCACATCTTATGTGTGCTTCGCAGGAACCATATGCTACATCTATATATTTTATACATTTCTCGTTTCTCAATTCCATCTGCAACAAATGTATCATTTTAATTGAAATGTAAAGTTTTTCGGGTAATAACATAGCGAGATGAAAATATACCTTGAAGCTTTGGAGATCTATGCAAGGTTCGTCCATTTCAATTTTCACTATAATTCCCGGTGCATAAGCAATACGCCCGTAGCATGATTCTTCCGCTTCACTGCTTTTCTCTTTTTCAGGTTTGGATTTGTCATAATTCTGTCCAGTTTTGTCGTAATTCCATTTTGCTTTTTTCAAATGTGATTTCAATTGTTGCATCTTGCTTTTTTGTAATTCTAAGTATTTATTTCTAAGTCGTTTCCAATCCTGCTTAGCCATTACTTGCATCATATCACTAGTGATATCCCTCTGAAAGTTATTTCTCTTCTTGCGGTTTTTTTTCTTTTTTCTTTCATCAACGCCAGTTTCTTTTTCTTCGATATTGCTGCTTGTTGCGTCTATATCTCCTTTAATAGGATATTTTACAGTTTGTAATACACCTTCTTTTTCATTACGGTCATTGTAGCTTTTATCTGTAGACAATATATCTATCGCTTTATTCTCATCTAATTTTGTCGCTAACTTACGTAGATCCCTTTTCACTGTTCCTTCGTTTTCTAATTTAAACGTATCACTTATTGATACTTTTTTCTTTCTCTTTCTATCAGTTTCCCCGCTTTTCTTATTACGATTAGTAATATCTTTATTTGATGTCTCTTGATTTTCCATATCACTAATATGCTGATCCATTATATTTTGATCCGTAGTTGTTCTCTTTTTCTTAATTTTGATATTGCTTTCATCTACAACAAGTTTTCTTTTCCCCAAAGAATGTTTAGTGTTACTGTTAAAGTTATCAGTTTTTTCATCATGAATATTATCATCATCTTTAATTTGATTCTCCATATCATCTTTCTTATCACCTACACTTGTCGTCTTTTTAGAGATATATTGTTCTGGTTTATTACATACTGCAAGATTTTCTTCTGTATTATTGAAAGTAGTTATACTTAACAGATCATTGGGAGATGTATGAGATGGCAAAACGCATCCTTCTTCTTGAAATGCCTGTGTGCATAATGACATATTAAATTTGAAATTTTTATTAACTGTTCGCAAAAGTTAAATCACTTTTCTTACTTTAATACATTGTTTAGCACCCATTGGAGTATCAAATTCCACAAATGCAAAACCTTTAATCTTTTTGTTGCTTTTGTATCGAGGAATCGAGACATATACTACTGTTCCATATTTAGAAAAGGCAGAAATCAGCCAATCGTGATCAGAATCTGGAGGTAGATTTTGCACATAAACTGTACATTCATCTGTGTTTTCCTTCTTGTTGATAGGTGTTAATCGACAAACTTTTGTACCATCTTCTGATACTTTTAACATGGTTGATCTTTGTAAAGCTTTAGCTATTCTACTTGTGTCTGTCGTTAATGTACTTAATTTATTAAAATTTGCAAATACATCAAGATCCACATCTAAGAGACAAAAATAATCACAATTAGCATTTTGGAATTTCTATAAAGGAATCAATTGAAAGCAAAGTATATATCACAAGTATATATGTAGTCCTATCTTGGATGATTGAGAACATAGGGAGAGCACTTACAAGGACTTTTCTTTAAAAGTTCTGACAAGTAGCGATCTTTGTTCAAATTAGCATCACTGAAATAAAACTCCATTTGTTTGAGTATCGCAGCATGCAGCGCTTTCTTCCTTAATCGTGGTTTACCACGTGAAACAGCAGATCTGCTGTTTCGTTTAATCATATCCATTTTCGACTGTTGTATTTGAGGCACGGGAATTCTTTCCGATGCTAGTTCTATGTTCGATTCCTGTTCTTCCATCACCATTGTATTCTCAAGAGTTCGTACAACTTACTGCCAAACAAAATATAGTTCCTGCGATATATCACAAAAATAGTCCATAACATGTCCGTTGGGAGAATTTTGGCATTTTATTTTTTACTTATGGTTTCTACATATATCTATTCTATGTTGTTGTTGTTACTATGGTCGTGAAACTAGTTCATTGACCACCCGAGAAAAACATAAATCACAAACAGCAAAATAAATTCCAATCTTGCAACAATATGTAATTAGTTCCACCCAAATTATATCCTTCTATTAATCCTCCGAAAGAACAAAAATAACTCCTTGAAAGCACCTTCGTTGCTACTGAACACTATATCATCGAGGGCTGCGTTCAGATTCCCCACCCGGGTGTATTCTATTACTAGAAGTGCTATAGTATATGTGACATATACTATAGTGTTTCTAGTAATAGAGTGCACCCGGATGAGGAATCTGAACGCACCCGAGAATGATAGGTTCAATTCCCCAGACGTTGCGTAGACCAATCCTCAGTAAGTCCGACTCCCGCTGATTACGCGGGCAATTTAAAATTACATGTTCAGAAGTCTCTGGCAGACCACAATCACAAAGCGGTAGGTCACAGATATTTTTATCATATAAATGTTGCGCTACTTGTGTATGATGAGTCCGCAAACGTGATACCATAGTTATAATTTCTTTATTGAGATGAGCATGTTGTAAAAACCAAGGCTCCAAAAGATTTTTAATACGCGTTCTATGAAAATACCTGAAACTTTTTTGTTTCGAGGTATCTTTAAAAAATTGCGCAACGTTTTCATTCATACGATCTCTAAGCATTCTACAAATTGTACTAGAAAACAGAACAGAACAGTTTTATGCTCCACAGATAAATTTATTTGGACTGCGTTTTTTGCCAATTCATCAGCCCGTTCATTCCCTTCAACTCCAGAATGTCCCGGAATCCAAATAAACACGATATCAAAGCCTTGCTTGATCAAGTAGCAATATATATCCTTGATAATATATACTAATTCATGCTATTTACCAGCTGGGCCACATCTGCCCAGAGCCGCAATAAGACTTCTAGAATCGGTGGCAATAACCACCTTTTTTGACTGTGTCAAACACCATGGTCAAAGTATATGCAACCGCCGTAGCTTCAGCCTCAAAAATTGATAAGTTATTATCAAGTTTACAACTAAAGGAAACAGAAGGGGAGAAGGAGAAGACCGAGCAACCCACCCCCATATCCATTTTTGAGCCATCAGGGGTGCGTTCGAAAACACTGAAAGTCCACGACGGAAAGTGGCTGTGGTGGATGGGCTTGGTGGGGTTAGTGGAGTTGGTATCGAGAGGAGTTTTCGAACGGCCATGGAAGAATGCTCAATGTGACATACTACATGTGTGTTGTGCCTACATATGTGTTGTACAAAATGGCTGATTGAAAGCGTATTTCGACATTAGCTATAATTGCTTCTCAGCAAAATAATAATAAATTAATAAATTTAGTAATTATTAATTTATAATTTAGTTATCTGGAAAGTTAATTGGCTATATATTTCTCGGTCCGAGAACTCGGATCGATTTCTAGCATCGTGGGCACCAGGCCTAAGGAAATTTATAAACTTATTTATTACTCCTTACCTTTAACATCGTATATATAGACATTTCCCTTGTCATCCTTTTGTATATTTTTTTAAATATCCATGCATAAAATATGACGACCCGAGATTAAATTTTCCATTTTTTTTCACAAATTGTTACTGATTCGTGACTTTTAACGTGCCTCGTATCTCGTAAGAAAATTTCAGAACCTATAAAATACAAAAAGCTTAATAAGCTTTATTTATATTTAAAGACAATATTCTGACAATATACATCACTATAGAAAT